TCTCACCCTTCTTCTTTATATTGTATCCTTTCTGTTAGTAGGTCAATAGGTTCATGGGATGCCTGGGTGGCTCAGCAGTTGAGCGTCTGCTTTCAGCTCAGGGCCGCATGATCCTGGTGTCCAGGGATCAAGTTCCTCATTGGGCTTCCCTGCAGGGAGCCTGTTTCTCCCTCTGCCTGTGTCTCTGCCTCTGTGTGTGTGTGTGTGTGTCTCTCACGAATAAATAAATAAAATCTTTAAAAAATGTTCATGTTGTTTTTGTGTTATATATACTATACCATGTTATATGTTATATATAGTCTATCCTGCCTTTACCATTTTTCTCTATCAATTTCCTCCCTTCTTTGCTAAATTTCTCTTAAGAAGTACTGACATCTACTTAACCTATTTCTAAAATCATATCCTACTTACACCTCAGCTCATTCCAATCTAGCTTCTACCCCCCATTACTACTTGAGTGGTTTCTTTGATATTTCTGAAGCATTCACTCACCAGTTTTTTAAAACCCTTTGGCTTCTTCAGTGTGTTCTCTTCATTTTCTATCTGTGTCTGGCTATTTCTTCTCTGAATGGCTTCTCCTTAGATCAGGGACCAAGGGAATGATGTTTACTCTTACCACTTCTATTCAGGATTGTATGGAACTTGTAGTGAATAGGGGCAAGAAAAGGAATTCAGAGGCATTCAAATTGGAAACGAAGAAATGAAACTGATTGTATACGTGGAAAATCTTGAAGAATCCACAAAAAAGGTTCCTAAGACTAATAAATGAACTTAGTACAAAACTATTATATAAAAAATTAATTGTATTTCTATATTTTAGCAATGAACAACTGAAAATTTAAAAATAAATTAACGTTAAAACATTTACAACAGCACCCAGAATATGAATACCTAAGAAAAAGTTGAACAAAATTTTGCAAGGCTTGTATATTGGAAACTATAAAAGATTACGCATTATGTGATATCACTTACATAACATTTTACTTAAATGAAAAAAATTTATAGTGGTGGAAACATAGCTGTCAGGGGTAAGGTTGGCAAGAGAGTGTGATTATATAAACGGATAGCATGAAGGATTTTCTTTGGTGAGATGAAACACTTCTGATTGTGATAGAGTTTACACTAATAGATGTATGTGATAAATTTACAGAGAACTATACACAAAGTACATTTAAAACTGGTAAAATCTGAATAATGTCTATAGTTTGTTTAATCGTATTGTACCAAATGTCAGTTTCCTTGTTTGTTAACAGTAGTGTATGTACCAATGTCAACTTTCTCATTTTGATAATTGTGCTGTGGTTATGTCAGATGCTCTCATTTGAGTGAAGCTGGGTAAAGGATAGCCAGGATCTCCATATTATTTTTGTAACTTCTGTGTGATTCTAAAATTATTTCAAAGTAAAACATTAAAAAAAAAAGACACTTAAGAAAATGGAAATGGAAAAGCAAGCCACAGACTTGAAAAAATACTTGCTTAACATCTGATAAAGAATATATAAATAAGTACTTAAAAATCATATTTTTAAATGGGCACAAGTGTTAATTAGCTACTTCATCAAAAAATGTAGCATGTAAGTCCATGAAAAAATGCTCAGCATCATTAATTATTAGGAAACGCAGATGTAAACCACTAGTATACATAAAATTAAATGGCAGTCACAAGAATGTGGAGCAAGTAGTACTCTCTTACTTCGCTGCCAGGAATAAAAAAGGTATGGCCACTTTGGAAAACAGTTTGGCTGTTTCTTACAAAAGTAAGCATAGGACTCAGCATCCCCCTCCTAAGTATTTACCAAAGATGTATGGGGGGGGGAGTGTGAATGTTTATACTAGTGTCATTTATAATACACTTCCAGACTGACAACAATCCAAATGTCCAAATGGTACATCCACACGATAGAATACCATTTGGTAGTAAAAAGGGATGCAGCACAGATGAATATTAAATGCATTAGGGCAATGGCACCTGGCTGGCTCACTCTGTGGAACAGATAACTCCTGATCTTGGGGTTGTGAGTCTGAGCCCCACATTTTTTTTTTTTAATTTTTATTTATTTATGATAGTCACACAGAGAGAGAGAGAGAGGCAGAGACACAGGCAGAGGGAGAAGCAGGCTCCATGCACCGGGAGCCCGATGTGGGATTCGATCCCGGGTCTCCAGGATCGCGCCCTGGGCCAAAGGCAAGCGCCAAACCGCTGCACCACCCAGGGATCCCTGAGCCCCACATTGTAGAATATTATTTTAAAACTTAAAATCTTAAAAATAAAAAAAAAAGCAGCATTAGGGCAAATGAAAGAAGCCAGACATATAAATTACATAATGCTGTGATTTCATTTATATGAAGATCTAGGAAAGATACAGCTAAGCAGTTCATTGGTTACTAGAGGTGGGTGGAAAGTAGAGGGCAGGGTTTGACCCATACACAAACATTTTGTGGTAATGGAATAATCTACACCGTGGTTTGGGTCCTGGTTATAGGATTGTGTACTTTCATCAAACTGATCAAATTGGACAGTTAAAGTTGGTGAATTTACTTTGCATATAATATTTGTTCTGCCTAGAAAGCTCCCTTCTCTTCATGCCTGATTAACTCATATGCAGTGTTCAGATCTTGCTCAAACATCACAGCATCAAGGGAGTTTTTTCCTGAGCCCAGACTAGCATAGTCTTGTCTCTTTTAGCATCCTGCCCTATCTCTTCACTGCTCTTATGACAGCCATATTGATACACAGGCAGATACTAAGCAACATAAGGTCTCTTTATCTGTCTTAACTACAAGCTCTCTTAAGGGGCAGAGAGATGCTGTTAACTGTTGTGTTTATTGTACCCAGCATAGAGTTGGATTCAGGTATGCCAATATTGTCAACTGAGAGTGAGTAGAGTTTTCTAGTTCCTGTTTGTGGGAGTGGCAGCTGTGGCTTTTGTGGAGGGTATCACTGTCTGGGCCTACCTACTTAACTCTGGTACTTTACCTGCCATACCTACTCTGTTCCTGGGGAGTTGTATTAGCTATCATCACTCAGCTGCTGCCACAGCTTAATGTAGACTTCTGTGTGTGTACCTTGGGCACTCCTGATTCCGGGCCATTCTGTTCTGGGAACAGAGAGAAGCCTTTCCTTACTATTTAGAGGCTCTGTGCTACCCCTCTGACCATATGTGCACATTACCAGAGACCATTATTACAGTCTTCGGGCCCTAGACAGACCCTGTTTCCAGGATAAGTCTGTAGAATATTTGATGAGGGACCTGGCACCCAGCACCACTTCTCTTCCTCCTTTCACTTCTCTTTCTCCTTTTCCTCCTCTGGTAGACAAGAGGGAATTCAGGTTACTTTAGGAAATTGGTCTGGGTAACCAGTACTTGTATTTGTCTACTAGCATATCTTAAGTGTTTAAATCGTTACCAGACATTTTTTCTTTAAGCCTCTGGTCTGTCTGCTTAGGTGGAATTAATGACATTTGTTATTTCAGACACTTCTTTTTGGAGTAATACATAACTGGTTTAGTTACTGATTTTGGAAATGTTTCTCTGGTCCTGCTTTACTGTATCCAAATTATCTGACTTCTCGATTGCTTTCAATTTACTTATCTAGTTTTTTAAAGATTACAGTATTTGGACTTTTTTGTTTAGTTTCTATTTATTTTTAATACCATCGTATCTAAGAATTCATTATTTTTTATTTTGTCTCTTATCTGGATTAGTACAATAGCTTACTAGTTTTCTAATTCTTATTCCCCCTCCTCTTGTAATGTAGTCTCTCCAAGTAGCATCCAGGGAACTGGTCAGGGACTTCTTGCTTTCCACTTTCCAGTGCCTTCCATCCTACTCTAAGAATTCAACTGTTAGAATCCAGTTCATGAGCTTCTACATAATCTGGCCCTAGGGCCCAACATAGTGCCTCAAACAGGTTAGGCGCTTAGTATTTGTTAAATTGATTTCTTTGCATTCTAAGTGTTACCAGAATTTTGTTTTTGTTTTTGTTAGCATTATCTTAAAACCTACACGTGCATGCACATGGACAGTAATTCTTAGACCTCACTGGTTTCTTGGTTCATTGTGGGATGTGGGGAGTGGTTTGGAGCTGTCTTGTTTGCATTTTGGAATAGACCACTTTCGTCTAGTAAGAATGGGTAATAGGTTTGTCGATAAATACAACTCCAATAGGTGGAAAAAGACTTCCCTTGGCTTGTAATCAGCATGTGGTAAAGAGCTGTGGCCAGAACTTAGATTGTGCTTTTGAGGCCCCACACAATTCAGAACAATATTTTTTTTATTTCACATCCTAATATACTAAATGCTTTTTTCTATATATTTTCTTATTTTTAACTTTATTTTATATCTTACTTTATCTTATATTTTCTACCTTGCTTCTCATCCTTTCAACCATCATAACCTCAACATCTGCATTATACCTGGATGTTGCTGGTGGGGGTCAGGCTCTGTTATGGTGACAGCATAACAGAGATCTGCTCTGTGTTTGTTAGGTAGGGTTGACACATGCTAACTAGGCTTACTAGCCTGCCAGTTGATTTCTTCCATGCCATGCTAAATGAGATTGTGAATTAGTTTTGAATAAAAGTTTATCGATTTCTCACAAAAATTAAGGTTTCAGTATTTCATAATAAATACATAAAAAAGGACTGGTTTTAAATTTTAAACTATGGAAGTGACCTTAAAGGCATGTTTAGTTATAATTATTTGCTTTTTTTTGTTTGTTTTATAATTTTCCAGTAAGTTAAGACACTAGTGACTTGTAATGGAGAAACTTAGCCTTTGTAAAAATTTTGTTCTGTTTTTAACTCTCAATCATCTCCTTAAGTATAGCAGATGCTAACCAACTTCCGGTATTTTTTTCTTTCTACTTGTGTTTTAATGAAGCAGCTCCTTTAACATGGTATAGCAATCTGTGTTACTATTAGTGAACAGAGTAAGGACTTGAATTTTAAGCTTAAACAAATTCATTTTGTTAACATCACATTTTGTTCCATTTTGCAGCTTCTTGGTGAATATTTGGATGAAGCCATTAAATTAATTGTTTGCCATCATGAGCAGAAGCAAGCGTGACAGCAATTTTTATAGTGTAGAGATTGGAGATTCCACATTTACAGTCTTGAAACGATATCAGAATTTAAAACCTATAGGCTCAGGAGCTCAAGGAATAGTATGGTAAGTTTTTACTTCCAAAAATTAGGCAAAGAATCATTAACTGCCATCTTTTCTCCTCTTATATTTATCTGAGTAAATATTTAACTTGCCTCAAAAAAATTAAGATAAAACTTAATAAAGTTTGAATTAAAGCTATAACATAGTAAATTGTTTTGTTCTGGGGTTGATGGTCTTTATTATTCATTAAACACAACTTTATAAATCAGCACTGCCATCTTTAAGTATAAATTATGATTAAATACTTGGTCATAAGCCATGTAAAGACAGATATCTATATCAGGAAAGGATAAGTGGCATGCTTGTTAATTCCATGTATACATCCCATAGCTAGTTGTTTAATAAGAAGCTTCTCTTAATCATTACTTTCACATTATAATGAAACTCTGGAATTTCAGAAATCTTATTTTGTACTGGGGGATGAAGTGAGCTAATGCCTCATGTATGTGTTTCAGAATTCATATGTGTCTTTGAAATTGATTTACTGGCTAATTTCTACAAAACGCCCAGGCTTTATATATAGAGCAACATAATTTTTTTTTAGATTTATTTATTTGAGAGAGAAAAAGCACACGTGCAGGGGAAGGGGCAGAGGGAGAGAATCTCAAGCAGACTCCCTGGTGAGTGTGGAGCTTAATGCACCCTGAGATCATGACCCGAGCTGAAGCCAAGAGTTGGATGGTCAACTGACTGAGCCACCCAAGTGCCCCAACATAATTCTTTATAAAATATAAGGGTAGAACACTTTTTGGAGAGTTCTGCTAATGATTTTTAGATCACTGAATAAGCATAATAAGCTAGTGTTTTGAGGAATTTTAAGCCTCACTCAAACATAATTATATCTTTATTACCTCTTCTTGAACCAAATTTATTTCGGAATTCTTTTTAAAAACTCATAAGTATTTATGACCCTGCAGGTCTCTCAGGTTTAGAATAACTCTTGCACATGTACATAGAGACAAACATAGGAGTATTCTTTGCAATACCATTTATAGTAGTAAAAATTGGTAATACCAGCAAGTCTGTCCATGAGAATAAAACAATGTGATATATTCATGTAGTGAAGTACTATACAACATTTAGAATGAACTGGAGTGATGTTTCAACAAGAACAATCTTAGAAATACAGTATTGAGTTTAAAAGGAAGATGCAAAATATATATACATTATTGTACCATTTATATAGAGATTAAAATATGCAAAATAAGACCATATGCTTATGGATGCATACATATGTAGGAAAGTATAAAAACCATTAATAAACAGCAAACTCAGAATAATGCTTACCTCTGAAAATAGAGATAGGGAGGAGACTTTACCTGTGATAATATATTAATTTTTTAAAAATTCAGCATTTGGGGTACCTGAGTGACTCAGTCAGTTAAGCGTCCAACTCTTGATCTCAGTTCAGGTCTTGAGCTCAGGATCCTAAGTTTTGAGTCCTGTGTTGGACTCCACACTGGGTATGTAGCCTACTTTAAAAAAAATTACCAATTATGGTAAAATACTAAAATCTAACAGATTTCTGTAATGGAAACAGTAGCATTTAGTCTTTCTGTTCTCTTGAAGTAACTTATAATACCAGAAATTATAGAATTTGGGTAATTTTATAAAGTATTAGCTGGCTGGTTGTCATTTTAACTAAGCACATTTAACCAACCACAAATTAAATTTAAAGAAAATAATGTGGTACAGTCAATACAGGAAGGATTCTGAAAGTCAGCTCATGGTTCAGATTCTAGTTTCATAATGTATTAACTTTGTGACTCATGGCAAGTTAATACTTCTAAGCCAGTTTTCTCACCTAATTTACATGGTTGTTGTAAGGAATATAGTATTTATAAACTTCTTAATAGTGTTTAAAAATGTTTTTTGTGGGGCGCCTGAGTGTCTCCGTTGGTTCAGTGTCTGCTTCAGCTCAGATCATGCTCTCAGAGTCCTGGGATTGAGCCCTGCTCAGTGAGGAGTCTGCTTCTCTCTCTCCCTCTGCCCCCCCCCCCCTCCCGTCTGTGTGTGTGCACGCATACACTCTTTCATGCTCTCTCTCTCTCAAATAATTAAAAAAAAATAAATTTAAAAAAATGTTTTTTGTTTTTTTTTTTTCTGGGAGTGCCTGGGGTGGCACAATTGGTTAAACCTCTGACTCTTGGTTTCAGCTCAGGTCATGATCTCCAGGTCCTGAGATTGACCCCTGTATCAGGCTCCGCCCTCAGCGTGGAGTCGGCTTTAAGTTTCTCTCTCCCTTTGGTCCCTTTCCCGTGCACGTTTGCACGTTCTCTGTCTTTCTCTAAAATAAATAATTTAAAAAATAAATAAAAAACCTACTCGGTGTTACTTACCATCAGAATCAACTAAATAACTTAATTGTTTTTTAAATGCATTAATTTGGACCCCAATGATAGTAAGATTCATAGAAGTCTGGATTGGGGTCTCTAATTTGTGCACATTTAAGTATCAACAATTAGAAATCTAACTTCCTTGGATACAAAGTGCAGCCTTCTCAGATACTGTTGAACCTTTAGAGTTTTCAATACTACTTTGGTTTAACAGATAAAATGAATTTATTTATTTTATTTATTTATTTATTTATTTATTTATTTATTTATTTATTTATTTATTTATTTATTTTTAATTTATTTATTTATGATAGTCACAGAGAGAGAGAGAGAGGCAGAGACACAGGCAGAGGAAGAAGCAGGCTCCATGCACCGGGAGCCCGATATGGGATTCGATCCCGGGTCTCCAGGATTGCGCCCTGAGCCAAAGGCAGGCGCCAAACCGCTGCGCCACCCAGGGATCCCCGATAAAATGAATTTAATGCTTAAAAATAAAACATACTTGATCTGAAACAGTCAAAACTTCTATTTTTTATGACTCCTAAAATTTTTTTTTAATTGAGGAGAACATATCTGTAAATATGACATTTTCTAACTCAGAGTTAGATTTATGTCTTTTTTACTATCTCTGTGTGTGTGTGTGTGTGTGTATATATATATATATCTGTGTGTGTGTATATATATGTATATATACACACACACAGACACATACATATGTAGGAAATAGTTATGGCATATATATCATGCATAGATGTGTTCCTTTATGGCATAGTACCAATTTCTTAATACATATTTCTTCACTACATTTGAAATAGTGAGATAGCTAGAGAACAAACTCAAGTTTTCAGTTAGAGAATAGTTTTAATCAGCAATATATCAAACTTTCCAAATATATAAACAGAAGTCTTACAGTATGTTAGGTAGTCCAGTATGAAAAGCGATAACCTCACGTCAGTCTTTTGGTCACAGCTTTGTTTTTAACTTTCTGGCTCACTTTAGGCAAATCAATCAGGCAATTAATTTAGGCAGTTAATTAGTGACTTCAGTGATTTGTAGTCTCTTTCAGTCATAATATTCTACGATTTTAAGATACTTTATTTGTGCTTTACTTTCTCTGATCTTTCATTTACAAAACATGGTGTTTTGTCAGTGGGATATGGTAGAAGATATGAAGAGTAATGATGTTGGATGAAGAGGAGGATGAGGATGTGTTATATGTCACAGAATTATAGATGTTTCATTAACAGCAACGAAACAGCTTGTAATGTCCTGAAATTTAGCATTTATATTTGTAAACTTGATTTTTTAATTCCTCCCAAAACAAAGTTTAAATACTTTTATATTGTAAAATAATCTTTTGCATACCTTTATATATGCATATATGTATTCTTATATATGTATTCTTTCCTCTCTCTGTATTCATTTTGTTGTGTCCAAGGAAGATGGAAATGATCTGCTTATGTAGAATTCTTCAGAAAGTATCTTGGGTAGAATTTATGACCACATGTATTCTTTAGGATTCTTTAGGATAGGCTTAAAGCTATCTATTAGACCTGAATACTCATTAAACATTTGTGCATTGAGTGCTAATTGTATGCTAGGTGGAATTTGGAGGACACCCAACAAACAAGCAGTCTCTGTCTTCACAGTCCATTGTTTCTTTGAATATAATAGCATTTTAAGAAACAGTTAATGCTATACCTGTTAGAATATTCTATACAGTGTTAGAATATGCTATAATAGGTGTTCAAGAAATATGTTGAATATCAAAGACTGGAAATTGACACAGTTGCATTCTATCTTTGGAGAAAGTTAAGGAATCTGCATGAATGTTTCATAAATTCAGTTTTGCAGATTTAAAATTTTTGTTTGTTTTTGAATTTCTTGTTACAGTGCAGCTTATGATGCCATTCTTGAAAGAAATGTTGCAATCAAGAAGCTAAGCCGGCCATTTCAAAATCAGACTCATGCTAAACGGGCTTACAGAGAGCTAGTTCTTATGAAATGTGTTAATCACAAAAATGTAAGTGAATGTTTTGGAAAATGTCTTAGGTATAGATTATATCAGGATTTGTTCAGGAATACATAACAAATACTTTAAAAATATTGAGATGCTATAAATTATTCTAGATTGGAACATTATTGGGATATATAGCTATAGGGTAAATTTTTTCTCAACTTTATTGAGTTACATCAAAAGAAAAACACCTTCTGAAATTTAGATTGTATACAAATTTTCTGATATTTAATTTGCAAAAGGAGTTTTAAAAGAGGTAGGTGTTTTCGAAGAATTTTATTTAGGCTTGATCTCGTCTTCTGGTTTTTGTTTTCTGTCAGGCTGACATTTTAGAAAACCGTAGCTTTAGCACAGAGATGAAATTGTTTTCATTTACTTTGACACTGGAGTTTTATTTAATAATATTTGATATAAAATTCAAATCATTTCTCCCTACTCCACTCCCACTTTTTTTTTAAATTTTTTTTTAATTTTATTTATTTTTTGATAGTCACAGAGAGAGAGAGAGAGAGGCAGAGACACAGGCAGAGGGAGAAGCAGGCTCCATGCACCGGGAGCCCGACGTGGGATTCGATCCCGGGTCTCCAGGATCGCGCCCTGGGCCAAAGGCAGGCGCCAAACCGCTGCGCCACCAGGGATCCCTCCACTCCCACTTTTTTAAGTGATGCTTATACTCAACTTGTCAATTTAGGTTGAAGATAGTGAATTTATAAAGCAGTTAAGCAAAAACTTCAAAAAATATTTAAATGAAATTAAGAAAACATTCCTAATTCTTTTTCCTGATGATTATAACAACTTAAACATATAACTTTCACTCATTTTGAGAAGAAATAAACTTTTTAAAACTTATTTTAAGCATATTTTTGTGATTATTTTAATGGAATGATTTCTCTCAGCTGAGAGGAAAAAACTGGAAGTGAATTGAAAAGGGGACGGTTTTATGAAGTACTAAACTGAAAGCATCTGACTGGAGATGTCTTGTGTTTGTCCAAAGGAACTTATAAAATACAAGCTCAGTGCTTTCTAATTGCAGATACACAGTTTACCACATTTTGAGAGCTAACTATGCAAGCCTGTGTGTGCTAGAGTTACTAGATTAGTCACTGAGGGGAAAAATTCATGGAAGTAAATTGTGAGGCTCCTTATTTGGGGGAACATACATGTTATTTTTAAGACAAATACATAGTGAAATATCAAATATGACAAAGCAGTAGAAGTTTGATTGTCAACTTGTGGTGTATAAAAAATAAGTCCTCAGATTTCAGGAGAGAGAAGATTGCATGAGCTTTCATAAAATGGGAGGGCTTTTAGGAAAAGGTGGCTGTAGACTGTAATTCTTAAAAATGGGGTAAAAATTGAATTGTTGAAGGAAAAGGGCCTCCCAGAGAGAAAGAACAGCATTTAAGAAGAGATACAGATTAAAGTCTGTGACAGGGAAGTTATGTCAGCCATTCTTGTTCTAGATGGGAACCAGCCATGTTGCTTGTCAGGGTTTTGCTGGTGGCCTTCTGCCCTCAGATGGAGCTGCTCATCCCTCCTTGTAGCCGTTTCATGGTGATGATAGTGGTGATACTGCCTTAGTTTTGTGGTAGGGGCATAGCTAGTGACTCCTACTTCCTGAACCTGAGTGACTGCAAAAAAAAAAAAAAAAAAAAAAAAAGGTTCCATCGACTAAAAGGAAGGCATGGGAAGCTTGTTTAACATAGTTAACCCTCTGGTAGGGATGGCAAGATCCATGCAGGCAGTACCCTTGGCACCTATAAGAGTATTGATATAGGAGTAGATGCTGAAAACATATTTGTTCAGACAATGAATGTAAAACTAAACACAGTTGACCCTTGAACAATGTGAGAGTTAGGGATGTTGACTGCCTGTGTAGTTGAAATATGCATATAACTTTTGACAACCTCAAATTTAATGACTGATAGCCTCCTGTTGACCAGAAGCCTTACTAATAATATAGTCGATTAATACATATTCTGTAAGTTACATGTATTATATTCTTACAGTACAGTAAGCTAGAGAAAACAAAATGTTACTAAAATCATAAGGAAAATTCTTACCATGTACTGTATTTATAAAAAAAAAATCCATATATAAATAAACCCACACAATTTGAACCTATGGTGTTCAAGGGTCAACGGTATAGGGAAACCAAGAATGATAAAGGAAATTTTACACTCCAATGGATGGATGTTTTTGTTATGTCTTGCCTTTTCAGCAGTTTCATGTTCTTCACAGATCATCTCTTCATTGGTCTAAACATCTCTGTTTTTTCCTACTTTTTTCTTTTTTATTGTGGTAAAATACACATAAAACTCACTCTCTTAGCCATACACTTCAGTGATACTAGATAAATTCATATTGTTGTGCACTTCCTACTATTTTCATAAATGCTTTTGAGTTTGTTTTTTAACTTGGTCACGTATCTCTGAATGTACTTTAATGTGTCACCTAGGACTTCATATTTGACTCCTCCAAGAGGAACTGAAGCATGTCATCTCCTCTTAACTATGGGCATTACTATAATCCTGTTTAGGAATCAGATAACCATTTGATTCACATTGTCTTATACCAAGTTATTCTTTGTCACAGGCCTGCTAATAGACCACATCTTTCCCGTCTTTCACTTTTTAAAAAGATTTTGTTTTTAAGTAATCTCTACACCCAGCCTGGGGCTCAAATTTACAACCTCCAAATCAAGAGTCACAGTCTGCACTGACTGAGACAGCTGGGTACCTTCCATCTTTTACTTTCTTTTTAATCTTTTGATTTTGGAGGTAAAGTATAGTACTTTCTATTTCTCCCCAGAATTTCAGATGTGAAATCTGGTTCCTTTTCCCAGACTATTGGGGATTGCTTTTTCCTTTGTTCTGACTTTTCACTTGCTGGCTTCACTTCCCAGTTTTGCTCAGGATACCTTCATAATAGCTGGATTAGTTCATTAGTGACCCTTGAGTATACTGTAAAAATGATCTCTGCCCATCTCTCCTGAATTCATCTTATTCACATGGATATTATGACTTGAGACATTTTCAAAGATGCCTTTTTGAAATCTTCATATGCTTATCTGGTCACATTTCTGATCTACTGCTGCTATTCTTTGTTGTTGTTTTATTCACAGAAGGAAGTACAGTTTCTCAGTGAATTTTTACCTGCTCCTAGTAAGTGTTACTTCTTTCAGAGTACTTACTACATACCACCCACTTAATCAGTTCTTGACTTTTGTTTCGCTGTCCAATCTATGATTGATATAATTTCCTTTATTTTCCTTTTTGAAAGATAAGACAGCTGTCTTAATCTTTTATTTTATAACTGCTTTATTGAGATATGATTCAGATATTTTATAGTTCATTCAGTGTGTGACAATTCAGTGGCTTTTAATGTACTCACTGGTGTTTGTGACTAGAACATTTTCTAGAACATTTTCATCACCTCAGAATCTCTGTATTGTTTAGTTCTCATTTTCCTATTTCCCACCCCTCCCCCCCTTGGCTCTAAGCAACCACTAATCTCTTGTCTTTATATGCTTTTCATCTTTAGCACTTACCTTCTATAGGGTTTCTCAGATAAGAAGAGTTTTAAGTATTTTCCAAGTCTCTAGATGTGATGTTCATCTAGTTGGGAACCAGGAATTAGTCATTTAGAGCAACTAGATGCATTCTTATGATCACTTTCCTTATCTTAAATTTGTTTGACCTTTTCTGATCTGGATATTATTTTTCTCAGTTTATTCACTAATCACATATTTGAATGCCTTCTATAAGCAAAGCTTTATGCTTTTTTTTTTTAAAGCTTTATGCTTTATTATGAATGACCTAGATTCTGCTCTCATGAAGTTTGTCTAGAAAAACTTTCCCATTCCTAAATATAATTGTCAACAAATGTTTTAAAAATGTGTGTTAAGTATCTCCCTATGGTGCCAGGGCTGAAAAAGGGAATAATTCTTTCTGACAGGATTCCTGGTGTTACTGGCGTGAGGCTTTTGTGAAAATGAGACTATGCAACAGTATGTTAAATGCATAGTAACAAATAAAATATCATGGGGATGAAGTAAAGATAATATTCAGCAACCTGTCAAGGCCTAGAGGTTATCAGACTCTACAAAAGACATTAATTTTGAAAGTTAACTGAATTCAGTAGGTAAATAGGACAAGTACAAGGAAGAATATATTTTAAATATTGAGAATTTTTAAAAATAGCATTGTTTAAACTTATTTATTATGGCTAAAATATCAAGTTTAATAGAGAGCTTAGCAGGAGATGAAGTGGGTTGATGTTCTGTCCTTTGAAGGCTTTGAATGTATTGCAAGGGAGTTTTGGAATTTTTTTGCTGGCATTAAGTTTTTGAAGAGGTTGGTAATATGATCAAGTCTTTACCATATTTTAGACAGTAAAGTGGTAGCTAGATTTTCAGAAAGCCATTGTTAGGGAACTTTAATGTTAGAAATAATTATAGCATGAACAGTATAGATGAGATGTTAGAATCCTCTATCTAGTAGCACAGGGAATGAGAGGAAGTTGAAGTTCAACTGGCAGTTAGAATAGGATAGTTTTTCTTTTCAACATTTATTTATGGTACTAATACTGAAAAAGGAGTCAAAAATCACTGAGCTTTCTATTGTAAAAGGTAAGGCACTCTGGAAAAGTAAAGGGTTTGGGTAGGAATGATAATGAGTTCAGTTTTATATTATTTGTGAGACTTTAATGTGAACTGGCAATATATATTTGAGACTTATAAGCTAAGCAAGGACTTTTAATGTATATTTGGAAATTATCCACATGGAGATGTTTAGAGAAAAAAAACATGTATTGTCTAGGGAAAGGGTACAGGCAGAGAAAAGAAAAGGATTAAAGACAAAATGGTGGCAAAGAGGGCATGCCTCTGGATGAACCAATGAATAGACTGGAAATGTGGAAAATTGGGAAAGTTCAGTATTATGAAAAACAGGATGTGGCAGGGAGGGCTGGGATTATGTACAGGTATTAAATTAGATAAGAGCTGGTGTAAGGTATTTAAAAATTGCTTACAAGTTATGTAGAGGATTGTATAATATAGGTCCTTGATGTTGAGTATTTATAAATGGAATGGATATATGGAACTCTTGATTGTTTTTTTAAGGCTTTTTAAAGAGCATTTTTAGGTTCACAGCAAAAATGAGGAAGATACAGAGATCTTCCATATACCCTCTGCCCCCATACATGCATAGCCTCCCTCATTATCAGTATCCCCCACTGACTGATACATTTACTATAATCAGTTGACACATCCTTATTGCTCAAAGGCCATAGTTTACATTAGGGTTCACTCTTGCTGTTGTATATTCTTTGGGTTTGGACAAATGTGTAATGACATAATACCTTCCATTATAGTATCATTCAGAGTATTTTCACACACACACACACACACACACACAAGATCCTGTGTACTTTGGTTCCCTCCCTAATCCTAATCTCTGGCCGAATCCCTGGCCATAGAGTTTTAATATGTAAAATAAAAGGGATTACTTGGGTTTAAGAACATAATATTTTAAAATTCTTATACTGATGGCAGAATTTTTTTAACCCATGTATTTGCAGTTCTTAAATGAAAGTATTAGCAGCAGCGGTGTCTAATTTTTCTGTCTCTTTGCTTTTGCCACAGATAATTGGCCTTTTGAATGTTTTCACACCACAGAAATCCCTAGAAGAATTTCAAGATGTGTAAGTGTGATAATTAAAATTTTATGTTCATACATTATTCTTATATTATTGCTGTACACTTTAGCTGTCATCTTTTTTCATCCATGAAGTTACATAGTCATGGAGCTCATGGACGCAAATCTTTGCCAAGTGATTCAGATGGAACTAGATCATGAAAGAATGTCCTACCTTCTCTATCAGATGCTGTGTGGAATCAAGCACCTTCACTCTGCTGGAATTATTCATCGGGTTAGTAGAAAAAAACTATCATCATATTCTTTTTTTAATGATTGAGGTGAATTCACCTAACATAAAATTAACCATCTTTTAAAGGGTTCAATTCAATTGACATTTGTACATACACAACATTGTACAACCACCACCGATATAAAATTTCAAAATATTTTCATTGCCCCCAGAAAACTTTATACACATTAAGCAGTCAGTCCCCATCTCTCTTTGTCCCCAGCCCCTGGCCATACCAGTCTGCTTTCTGTTTCTATGGATTTATCTCTTCTGGATATTTCATATAAATGGAATCATATAAATGTACCCTTGTGTGTTTAGTTTTTTTAACTTAGCATTGTGTTGTCAATTGCGTTCAAGTTGCATGTATCAATAGTTCATTCCTAATTTTTAGTGTTTGCAAATTGTGCTGCTGTGAACAGTCATGTACAAGTATTTGTCTGAGTTTCTATTTTCAATTCTTTTGGGTATCTTCCTAGGATTGGGTCCTATGGTAATTGTATATTTAACTTTTAGAAGAACTACCAAACTCTTAACAGTGGCCTATATCATTTTACATTCCTAGCAGCAATGTGTGAAGGTTCTGATTTTGCCACATCTTTGTTAATACTTTTATTTTAACGATCCTAGTGAGTACAAAGTGGTATCTCCGTGTGATTTGCATATCCCTAATGACTAAAGATCTTGAATGTTTTCATATGCTTGTTGGTCATTTGTGTATCTTCTTGAGAGAGGTGTCCGTTCAAGCCCTTTGCCCATTGTTCTAATGGGGTTGTTTGTATTGTTGAGTTATAAGTTCTTTCTCTGGATACCAGTTACTAGACCCTTATCAGATAAGTGATTTGTAAATATTTTCTCCCACTTTATATATTTTCACTTTCTTGATATCTTTTGATGTACAAAAGTTTTTGATTTTCATGAAATCGAAGTATCAGAATTATGTGGAACTACTGTAAGAACAGGGGCATAGACCAATGGAATAGAACTAAGAGTCCAGAAATAAAATCACATTATCTATGGCCAACTGATTTTCAGCAAGGGTGCCAAAGATCATTCAAATGGGAAAAAATAAGTGTTTTTAAAAATGGGGCTGGGTTTCCACAATCAGAAGATTGAATTTGGACTCTTCCTTCGCATCGTACACGAAAATTAACTCAAAATGGGTCAATGACCTAAACATAAGAGTTAAAACTATAAAACTCTTAAAATATAAGGGTAAATACAAGGATTTGTATTAATGATTTGACAAGGAATTCTTACAGGAGGTACCAAAAAAGCACAATCAACCAAAGAAAAATAGATAATACTGTAGCTTTGTAGTAAGTTTTGGAAAATGGGAGAATGTGAGCCCTCTAACTTTATTCTTCTTTTTAAATATTGTTTTGACTATTCAGGTCCCTGAGACTCCATGTGGATTTGAGTATCAGCTTTTCCATTTCTGCAGAAAGGCCATTGGAATTTTAATAAAGATCTCATTCATTGAATCTGTAGATTGCTTGGTTTTGTCTTCTTAATTATATTTAGTATTCCAATTCACAGACACCGGATGAATGTCTTTCCATTTGCTTAGGTTGTCTTAGCCTCCTTGGGCCAGCATAACAAAATAACACACTCAGCAGTTTAACCACAGCTGTGAAATTGCCCTCTGAGTTCTGCTTTTTCTGTATTCCCTAAATTTTTGTATGTTGTGATTTCATTTTCACTCATCTCAAAGTATCTTTTCATTTTCCTTGTGAATTGTTCTTTGCCCCATTGGTTGTTTGATAGTATGCTGTTTAATTTCCACAAATTTGTGGATTTTCCAGTTTTCCTTTTTTCTTTGTAGCTTCTTTGTAGATTTGTAGCTTCCTTCCATTGTGATCAGAGAAGATATATTGTATGATTTCTGTCTTTTAAAATTTATTGAGACTTGTTCTCTCACCTAACATGTGGTCTATTTTGAAGAATATTCCACATGCACTTGAGAAAAATATGTATTCTCCTGTTTTTGGAGGGAGTATTCTGTATCTGTCTGTTACATCTAGTTGGTTTATAGTGTTGTCCACATTCCTTATTTCCTACTGATCTTCTGTTTAGTTGCTTTGTCCATTAATGAGAGTGAGGTATAGATGTCTTTAACTATTACTGTATAATGGCTTCTCCTTTTGGTTTTGTCTGTTTGTGCTTCTTGTATTTTGGGGCTTTGTTGTTTATAGTTGCTATATCTTCTTCTTTTTTTTTTAAGATTTTATTTATTTATTTATTGGAGGGAGAAAATGAGCGGGGAAGAGGATCAGAGGGAGAAGTAGACTCTCTGCTGAATAGGGAGCCTGACGTGGGACTTGATCATGACGTGAGCTGCCAGCATACACTTAGCTGACTGAACCACCCAGGTGCCCCAGTTGCTAGATCTTCTTGATGGATTGATCTTCTTATTAATATTTATTGTTCTCCTTTGCCCCAATTTTTTTTAAGTTTTAAGTAATCTCTACACACAGTGTGGGACTTGAACTCACGACCCGGGGATGAAGAGTCACAAGCTCTTCTCCCTGAGCCAGCCAGATGGTTCCCCTTGTAGCAGTTTTTGACCAATACTCTTATTTTGTCTAATATTAGGTTTTCTATCCCACCTCTCTTTTGGTTTCTATTGGCTTGAAATATCTGTTTCCGTTCTTTCAATTTGTCCCTTTGAATCTAAAGTGAGTTTTGTAGAGTTTCTAATAGGATCATGTTTGTTTTATCCCTTCTACTATTCTCTAGCTATCTACATTCAAAGCAGTTATTGATAAGGAAGAATTTACTTCTGCCATCACGCTATTTGTTTTCTGATATATCATATCTGTGTTCCTCAGTCCCTCCATTGCTTTTTTGAATGTGTTTAATTGCTTCTTGTGCAGTGTGCCATTTTATTCTTTCCACATTTCTTTTTCTGTAAATTTTTCACTCATTTTCTTGAAGGTAACCATTGGGATTGCAGTTAATCTCTTCGGTTTACAACAGAATCTATTTTGAATTATTACCACCTTATCTTCAATAGTACACAAAAACTCTATGACTCTGTATTATACAATCTATTCTTCCCCCATTATGTTATAGTTGTCACAAATTACATATTTATGCACTGTGTGCCCAATAAGATAGACAATGTAATTATTTAATACATTTGTCTTTTAAATTGTATTGAGAAAAAAAAATAGAAATTAGGAGCCCAAAACACAGTAATACTGACCCTTGTGTTCACCCACGCAATTATTACCTTTACTAGTGTTATTTCTTCCTACAGCTTCAGTTTACTGTTTAGTGTCTTTTTATTTCTACCTGAAGGACTACTTTATAGGGTAGTTATAACCACCAATAAATTCCCATAGCTTTTATTTGTCTCAAAGTGTCTTAAATATCACCTTCACTTTTGAAGGGTAATTTGCTAGATGTAGAGTTTTTGTTTGGAATTTTTTTTTTTCTTTCAGCAGTTTAAATGTATCTTTATACTGCCTTTTGGCCTGTATGATTTCTTTTGAGATACCAATTGTTAATGTCATTAAGGATCTCTTATAAATTGTTTCTCTAGATTCTTAAGATTCTCTTTTTGTCTTTGGTTTTCAACAGTTTGATTATGTCTCAGTGCAGATCTCTGCTTTTATCCTTGGAATTCATTGAGCAGCTTGAATGTGTCTTTCATTAAATTTGGAAGTTTACAGTCATTATTTTTTCTGCCCCTTTACTTTTTCCCCTTATTTGGGACTTCCATTATGCATATGTTGTATACTTGATGGTGTGCTGCGTCTTGTTTTCAACATTAATATTTTGTCACAAGCAGAATGGCAGAATTCATTTGCTTTGCAGTATATTTGAGAAATGCCCCCTGTCTAGCCCAAGACCAGAGTCCCACAGTGAGAATGCAGGCTGCTTTCTGCAAGACCCTCCCACCCAGCCAGGAAGATGAGTGAGACAAGGGCTAGTAAAAACACCACATAACTTTCCTGTTGTTTTAAGTTGCTTTTTTCTTGATTCTGTATTTACTTGGTTGTTGTGAACATTTGATTATTTTCCAGATTTCTGAAAAAGTTTATTCTGATCCATTTTGTTCTGCTTTTTGGTGTTTCTCTGAAGCTATCTACTCTTCTATTTTGCTAACACCACTGCCTTTAATCATATTTATAAATCACTGATTTATATGGAGTAGTATAAGCTTAGTTTTGCTCTGAAATGAAGTGGTATATAAAATATCCTATCATTACCAATTATATAAAATTGAATATTCAGGGGTGCCTGGGTGGCTCAGTAGGTTGGGCATCTGTCCACTGGGGTCATGATCCCAGAGTCCTGGGATTGAGCCCCACATTGGGCTCCCTGCTCAGCAGGGAGCCTGCTTCTCCCTCACCCTCTGCATGCCACTCCCTCTGCTTGTGCTCACTCTTTCTCTCTTGTTCTGTCAAATAAGTAAATAAAATATTTTAAAAAATAAAATTGGGTGCTCATCAGTTATGTTTCTCATATTCAGAAATAGTTTATATTTCTATATTCTGTGTTTTAACTGTTTTAGTGACATAATTCACATACCATACAGTTTATAAAGTGTATAATTATATTCAAAGGTTGTACAGTCGTCACCACCAAATATTTTTAGAACATTTTCACCCTTCTTAAAGAAATCCTGTACTTGTTAGCCTTCAATTCCTGTTATTCCCCCAGCCCTACACAACTACTAACCTACTTTCTATCTCCATATACTTGCCTGTTCTGAATATTTCATATAAGTGGAGCTATATATATAATGTGATCTCTTGTGTTTATAATTTCTTTTCCCTAACATAATGTTCTCAAAGTTCATCTATTTACCATGTATCAGTACTTTGTTTCTTTTTTTCTCTTCTCTTCTTTTTTTTTTTTTTTTTTTTTGCCAAATAATAATTCACACTATGGTTGTATACTACATTTTGTTTATCCATTCATCATTTGAGGGACATTTGGGTTAACCATTAACCATTTTTTGGATATCATGAGCAATGATAAACATAAACGTG